AAGTTTTTCTGAATTGCCAGTAGATCCAGTCACCTTCAACCCTAAGCCTGATCTACTTTTTCTTTTTCAAAATTTGAAAGTTTTCAAGCCATGGTGGGTACATGCCTGTTATCCCAGCACTCGGTGGGTTGGAGATATAGCTCAGCGGCATAAGTGCGGACCTGGCAAGCATGAGGTCATCAGTTCAATTTCTGGTACCAAAAAGAAAAAAAAAACAATGTGGTTTATCAGCACTTGGGAGGCTGAGACAGGGGGATAGCTAAAAGTTGGAGGCTAGCCTGAGCTACGTACTGAGTTCAAGGCCTGAACTACATAGTGAGACCCTGTCTCAGAAAATCAAACAAAAAAAAAGTTGAAGGATTTTAGCTATAAAGCTTTTATATAAAGTATAATCACATTGGTATTATAATGCAGATATTAAGGCATATATATTTCAGATCTCACCTCTTTTTGGTCTCTACCTGTAACATGTCACCCTATCTGTAAGACCACCCTGTTTAGGGTAATAATATCACCCTGTTTCCTGACTACCCTGTTTAGGGTAATAATATCAACTCCTGCTGAAGCACTCCCAGTCCTGTTTTACTGCTTTGGGTTTTTGTTGTGTTTTGTGTTTTGTTTTTTTGAGACAAAATCTCACTGTGTAGCTCAGGCTGGCCTTGAACTCACAGCAGTCCTCCTGCCTCAGCCTCCTGAGTGCTGGGATCACAGGCATGCACCACCACACCCCACCCTTGGGGGTTTTTCCATAGTATTTTGTATCATCTGTTTACTTTGTTTATTAACTACTCCTACTGGAAAGTAAAACTATTGGAACTCTGTGAAGGCAGGAACTTTGCTGTTTTATTTTAAGCTTTCCCTTAAAAATGTCCAACACCTGGTAGGTACTCAGTATTCATTGAAGTAATACAAAAAAGACGGGCAGAGACTGTATAAAGAGGATTTGTGTTTCCCTCTGTGTTATAAAATAAAACATCACGTACATAAGCAAAATGCATACTACTCAGCCACATTGCTGAAGCCCCCGTATATCTGTTTCCTTACTTTCTCTTCCTAGAAATGACCACAGTTGTGACGTCCTTTTTAACAACTGTCTTTAGCCTTTTGGCTGTATTTTAATAACTTACTATACCTTTCAGCTTCCCATGTACTATTTTGTTTTTGTTTTTGTTTTTCAAAGAAGTTAGATAATACATGTAAGCACAATGGGGAACATACCTCATAATCTTACCTTTCAGTGTTTATTGCACCCTTAGCGGTAGGGCCTTAAGCAAAGTTCTCAACCATGGAAGCTTGGCTTCCTCAATTTGTAGAATGGAGATGATAAGCCAGGTGTGGTGGTACGTTCCTATTATCCCAGCTACTCATGAGGCTGAGGCAGGCTGATTGCTAGCTCAAGGACAGCCTGAGCAATTTAGTGAGACCATGTCTCAAAAAAGGGCTGAGGATGTAGTTCAGTGGTAGAATGCTTGCCAGGCCCTGGGTTCAATCTCCAGCACCACAGAGTGGGTTGGGTAGATAATCGAATCAGCCTCATAGAGCTTTGGCAAGATTAAATGAAAGTACATAGAGAGCTTAGTGGCAAACCAAGAACATGGTAAACACAGATGATGGAGAGTGAAGAGCCTTGCCAGTGCCTTCACTGTTGTTTCTTGGAAACGGGCCGTGTAAGCTGCGTGATTGCAAGTCATGTGAGGATCGACTTGGGGAGCACATGGTCGTGGTCGGATTGCCTCACTAACCAGGCCAAGTCAGGGTAGAGTGTACCTTTGCATTTTCGGGACATGGCATGCAGATGCCATGAACTGATGGTGCTGATTACCCCCCAGGTGAAGAACATCATTTACCACGCAGTGAAAGATGCTGTTGGCACCCTCAAGGCTCACGAGTCCAAACTGGCACGGTCATAGGAATGGAGAAATCCCAAGCTCCCCCACGAAGCAGGTCTTTCGCTCAAGACACTCACAGGGACTGGCAGGGTTCTCGTCGCGAGCAGAGGCCCTCGGCCTGGAGCCGGTGTGGTCAGTATTACAGACGCTGCAGCCGCTCTCGGTGCTGCCTCAGCACCACAGGCTGGCAGAGGAAGGCTGCACTGCTCACACACATCCAGACTCCAGCCCGGGGTGCCGCCTCCCCGCCCTGCGGTCCCCGGGAATCAGTGCCTGGACATCACGGGCTTTCCTGCACACTTTCCCGATTCAGTATCATGGAAACCAGAAACGTGGGCACACCTTGCTTTCCTCTTACTCTCGTGCCTAGTTAAGCGGGAGTGTGCTTGGAGCTGGAGGGAGCCCCACAGCTGGTACAAGCAGGGGTAATTGCTTACACGCGCCTGGTGGAAGCCGGACAGTGTCTGCACGGGACCTCGGACACAGCGCATAGGGAGATGGTGCGGCCCTCCCCACTCTGTCCCCAAGCACTGGAGTCTCCGGGCCCGGGAGAGTCCACTGCTTCTTCCCAGGAGGCTCCAGGATTAGGAAATGTGTGTATTTAGTGAAAAATAGGTTTGTAGTGAAATAGTAACTATTTCATGAAAGTAGATATTTTTAGAATTTTTGAAATGCCACAGTTGTTTTCCTGGATTATAAGGAAAGGCACATTACATTTAGTCTTCCTTTCACTAAAACTCTTTGAAGAAATATGATTTTTAAAAATCAGCTGCCCATCATAGCACAAATTCAGCCAAAGCAGAATTTAAAAATAATTGGCTTTTTAGAATTCTCTTAGTCCCATCCTGTCCCTGTCCTCTCTCAGTGTTCTCTTGAGGGAAGTCATCTCAGAACTCCGTCTCGTCTGAGCTGTGGTGTGTTCCCCCGTACACACTGGTGACTCCAGGAGCCACCTTCACCTCTTACCAGCGTTCCCTTGGACTCCTCAGACATTTCTAAACACGACGTTTAATTTCCAACATGATGTTTTTGGGTTTTTGTCCAGAAATATTTTCAGCAAAACTTTCCAACTCAGTGGAGTTTTTATTAAGAATTTATTTGAAAATGATGGAATTCATTGGCCCATAGGTACATTGGGAAATTATCTCTTTCCAGCTGTACTGTAGTGCCCTGCAGGCTTGTTTATATGTTCACACTTTTTTTTAAATAAAAGTCATTTACTGTAGAATACTTTTAATTTCACTTTCTGTATTTTAATTTTGTTGAAGGGCTGATTGGGATTTCCATGTTCTTATTAAAAATCTAACAAATCTGCTTGGCGTGAACTACATTCTTCCTGTGCCACCCCTTCTAAAGTCAGGGTCACATCGAAGGCCGAATTAGAGGGGAGATTCATTTCCAAGTCTTCATTACTGCACTGCACCCTTTGGAACCTGTACCCAGCTGGAAGAAGAGAAAGTTCCAGGGCGAGGTCAGCTTAGTTTAGAGCAGTGGTGGTGGACCTGTGGCGTGTGTGCCCCAGCAGGCTGTTCGTCATCACTGAGAGCTCCAAAAAGTTTCCCATTGCTGGTTTAGAGGCTGGCTGTGGAGACTTAGTTCGTGCTCTGTGGCAGGGTGGGTAAGTGAGGCCCTGCCTTCCGAGGGCAGGGTCTGGGTGCAGGGGCTGTGGTGTGTGGCCAGAGCAAGATTTGGAGCACTTGGTGGTGGAATTCCTCGAGTCGGAGACCTGAGTGACCTTGTATGAAAATCGCTGCCCTAGATGTCCCTCAGAGATGGTGGAACAAGGCCACACAGGTTTTTCTTTATCGGCAACAATTGAGGTGTTGATTGTTGAGAACAGACTGCATTCCAGCTGGAAGAGGCCTTTTGGAAAGCTTTTTTGAAGACTAGCAAAAGGAGTCATAGGGGCTGCTTCTCTGGAACCTACTGGAAAACGTCTTCCAAAGCATTTGAACCTGGAAATACACTCACCAGGTTTGGAAATAGACCATTGTGTGATTCAAGGGTGCTGAGTTTGAATAAGACCATAACTTTGAAATACACAACTCAGCAGGTCCGTTCAGCCGGAGTGGGCAGAGGTCGGTGCTGTGATCCCAGAAAGGTGACACCTCAACGTGAAAGGCAGAGGCACGCAGCAGCTTAAAATGGGGCAGGAAAGGAGCGCAGTGGGGGTGGGGGCTGGCACTTGGCTGCTTTGGTGGAAATAAGGCAGGCCAGCCTACATTCTGGATATAAATGTCGCAGAATTAGGGCAGCCCCTGCCACCAGTGCGGGCTAGTGGGGGTGGGACCCGGGCCCCTGCACTTCCGCTACCTGTATCGCAGCCTCACCGTTGGAAATGAGACTCTGCGCCCGCCCGGGCCGAGCTCTGTTCCCCTGCAGTTTGACATCCTAAAAAAGTAGACCGGGTGGCACCTGCCTGTCTTCTTTCAGCTGGGGGCTGGTAATTGTGGAGGAAGGGTGGGATGGGCTGCAGGTGAATGTTTTTACGGGCCCACCATGGGGGAGGATTTTGCTAATCAGGAGTTCGGGGTGCAGCCTTTTCAGACTTCCTGGGTTCATATCTTAGGAGTATGACCTAGTGGTTTTGTGACCTGCAAATTATTGAGCCCCCTTAAACTTCCCATGTCTTTATTTTCAAGATGAGAGTAATTATAACTTACGTACAAGATGGGTCTTGAGGATTCGATGCAATAATGTACGTGAAGCTCTTAGCAAAGGATCTGGCTCACAGTAAGCACTCAACAGATCATAGCTCTTTTTTTTTTTTTTTTTTTTGTATCGGGGAATCGAACTCAGGACCTTGGGCTTGCCAGGCAGGAGCTGTGTCGCTGAGCTATATCCTCGGCCCCCAAATCATAGCTCTCATTCCTCAGGAGATACTTAAGCATTCAGCCTGATGCGGAAAGAGGAGGAGGTGCCTGGGCCCAATGTCAGGACGTGACCGGAGGCCCCCAGGACCTCCGCCCGGGGACTTGAAGCCCAAGAAAGCGGAACCGGCACCTAGAGGAGGACAGCGCACGGAGGAGGAAGGCGCATGCCCAGCCGCAGCAGGTGCTGGTGGGGCGGGCACGGCCCTGCGGCCTCCCCTTTAAGAACCGCCGCCGCCCACGGCCCGCCGCAGCGGCAGGGACCTCCCCTTTAACGCGGCGGCTCGGAGCTCGCTGCCCCCGCGGCGGCCGCCGCGCTACCGCAGCCCCTCGGCCTCGGCAGCCGCATCCCTGCCGGCCGCGCCGCCCGCCATGGTGTCCTGGATCATCTCTCGCCTGGTGGTGTGAGTGCGGAGGCGGCGGGGTGAAGGGGACAGCGGGGGACTCCCGGCTGCGAGTCGCCCGCAGCAGCGCGTCGTGCCTGCCGCCGTGCCCGGGAAGCGAGCGGGGCCCACGGCGGGAGGGGCCTGGCTGCCCGGGGACCCCCCGCGCTATCATCAGCGACCGCTTTATGCTGAGCGTCTCTGCTCCCGCGCCCTCCACCCCCCGGGCGGGCAGCCGCTGGTTTAGCGGCGAGGTGGGCGCTGCCCTCCTGACCTGGCACATCGGGCTGCAGGAGCCCGGGCTCAGGCCCGCTGCCGCGGGGAGAGGAGAGCGGCGCGGGCGGGGAGCGGGGCAGCGAGGGCCGCCTCCTGCAGTAGTGCAGAGCGGGCGGCTCCATCGGGCCGCGTCAGGCCCTCCTCCCTCTGCCTCTGCTGACTGTCAGGGGCCGCGGGCACAGGGGACAGGACACCTACCCCTAAGGTGCCCGGGATGGCAGTGGGGCATCATCGGAAACCAGAGATGCGGGAGGACAAAGTGTAGCGGTGACGGGAGGGGATGAGTGCGTTCAGCCTGGGAAGGGGAAGGGGTGGCCCTCGTTCCCGGCTGCAAGCCACGTTGTGGAGCTCTGTCCCTGGCTTCTCCACGCTCGGGGAGCAGCACACACACTCCGTCCTTGAGGGTTCTACCCTCACTCCATCTGCACAGGCAGCCTAGAGCTCAGCGCCAGCCCTGCCCCAAGCGCGGGACCCTCTACCCAGCTGCCGCCCCTCTTGCCCCTCTCTGTTCACTGTTGACCTGCGCTGCTGTCCTGGTTTCCTAGACTTCCATGGGGCCTGTGGGGTGGTTTCTCCTCTCTGGCCTGGGCAAACTCCCGAAGGGGTGCTGCTCCTCTTCCCAGTCCTCTCCGTGTCCTGTCTGTGGTCGGTACTGGGATCGCCAGCCAGGACCTTGAGGCCAGGGCCCTCCCCTGAGCTTGGTCCCTGGGGTGTTTCCAGGGCCTCCTGTCCCTGTGCCCTCTGGTGCCTCTAACTGCCAAGTGGAGCCTGTGAGGTGGGGCCAGGTTCCTTTGTGGAGCTGGCCCCACCCAGCTTGGCTGTGAGACAAGGAGGTGCAGGGTAAGGGTGGACAAGTTAAATGGGCATAAAGCCTATAAGGAAGGCACTCCTGGGACAGTGACAGACCCCTCATCCCCCCCACACACACGCAGTGCATAGCCAGGGATTGCTGCCGAAGGGACACTTGGGATCCTCTGGCCTCTGGCAAGTGCTAGAGAAGTGAACAATGGAAAGGGAGGGGCACAGCCTCTCTGGCTGGCGTCCCCACGCACGCACATCTCCCCTGCTGTGGCTCTCTGGGTGCTGCTGTTCCCCTCACCTACCCAGGGGCCCAGTAACCATGCCTGCCTCCCTAGGCTCATCTTTGGCACCCTGTACCCAGCCTATTCTTCGTACAAGGCCGTGAAGACCAAAAACGTGAAGGAATATGTGAGTGGATGACCCAAACCCCTACCCACCCGCATGGCGGAGATAGAAGACAGTTGATCCCACAGCAGAGGGGTGACTTAGTGCCAGCACTGTCGGCTGACAGGACCCGGAGGCCAGGCGCAGTCATGTGTGCCTGTAATCCCTGCCACTTGAGAGGTTGAGGCTGGAGGGTTGAAAGTTGAAGGCCAACCTGGGCAACTTAGCATGACTCTGTCTCAAAATCTAAAAAAATAAATAAAAAGAGCTGGAGACATAGCTCAGTACTAAGGCCCTGGGTTCAATTCCCACTACCAAAAAAAAAAAAAAAAACCTGAGAAAAGGAACTTCCAGGGCATTGCTTTCTCCCAGCCTTATTGTGAGCCATGAAATTCAGGTCCTGGGTGTCCATCCTTCCCCCCAGCCCCTCCAACATGTTACCAGGCAGAAGCGGGGTCCTGGGTGTTCCAGCCTGTCAGCCCCAGGCCCCAGTTGACCCTGCCTCTGTCCCTCAGGTGAAATGGATGATGTACTGGATCGTCTTTGCCTTCTTCACCACCGCTGAGACACTCACAGACATCGTGCTGTCCTGGTGAGCCCCAGCTGTTCCCAGCACCCCAAGGCCCAGGCCTCTGCCTTTCTACCCAGACAGATAGGTGGAGGTGGGCCCCAGGGTGCAGACCCCCGACTCCTGGCAGGCCCTCGGGGTCTTGCCTGACTTAATCAGCAGAATGAGAACAGATACTCCCCTCATTCCTCCTGGTGGCGCCCCGGGTACCACAACAGCATTCAGGGCGCCTGCTTCTGCTCTACTTATCGCCACCTTAGCTCATGGCTTTCCAGAGCGCAGCTTGCCTGCTTGTGAGACTGTGTGATTCAGTCCTATAGACCTTGGGTGCTTGTGTGTCCAAGGCATTTCCCGGGCACTGCTAACTATGCATGCATGAGCACTGTGAGGACAGGGGATGTGTCTGAATCAGCTGCATGTTCATAGCAGAAGCTCAAAAATGTTTGCTGAAAGAGCAGATTCCTCTTGGAAGACCGGACTGGTAACAGTGCCCTGGAAATAAAGAGAGTTTTCCAGAGGGCTGGAAGATCATCGCAACAAAGCCTGTGTAGCTGAGAAGGATAGTTTTAGCAGAAAAAGGTGGTTAGGGAAGAGACAGGTTAAAGGATGGTGAGTCTAGAGTCCCTTGACACAAGCAAAGGAGAGCGCTCTGATAAGGTTCCTGTGAAGACCAGGCAGACCTGAGGAGTTGTGGCCTGAGCAGAAGCAGCTGTGGGACCAGAGTACAGTGGGAAAAGGCGGTGAGGGGCAGGCGTGGACCTGGAAGCTTAGGGGCTCGCCTTGTCCTGAGGCCAGGGCCCAGGAATGGGGGTCTCTGGTAGGGGTGAGAGGGCCAGGACTTGGGGCGGCGGGCGAGGAAAGCTGCTGCCGCCCGAATCCCTGCTGCAGTCACCTCTTACCTTTGCACCTGGATCGTAGCTGAGCCTCGAGGTTCCCTTGGAGCTGCATGGTGACCCCACACACGACAAAGCGAAGGGTCATTCAGGGTCAAGCAAGGAGCCAGTGCCGCTGAGTCAGGGCACCCTGAGTCCTCCCTGTGCTCATTCTGCCCCTCCACAGGTTCCCCTTCTACTTTGAGCTCAAGATCGCCTTTGTGATATGGCTGCTGTCCCCGTACACCAAGGGCTCCAGCGTGCTCTACCGAAAGTTCGTGCACCCCACATTGTCCAACAAGGAGAAGGTTTGCCCTGCTCTCAGCTCCCTTCCCAGCCTGCCCCAGCCAAGACAGTCAGTCACGTACACGCTTGGCTCTCCCTGTGGGTGACCTGGTGGGGCCTGGGCCCCTGGAGTAGCCAGGACCTTGGTGCAGGTGTGAACAAAGGTAGAGCAGCCCCCGCCTCTCATCCCCCCTCCCCCGTCCTTCTGCCAACCCCTCAGGAGATCGACGAGTACATCACCCAGGCCCGAGACAAGAGCTATGAGACCATGATGAGGGTGGGCAAGAGGGGCCTGAACCTGGCCGCCAATGCTGCCGTCACCGCTGCTGCCAAGGTGAGACCGGGGGCCGGACCCCCGGGGCACCCACGTGGCGTCCCCCCGTCCTCAGGGCAGTGGAGGCATCGGGTTTGTGCGGCCCGGGGTTCCAGCCCTGGCTCTGCCACTCTCCAGCTGAGTCACTTCCACTCCCTGGCCACTATCTGGCCAGTTTCCTCATCTGACCACGTGGAATGTACGGCCCCAGCCTTGGAGGCCCGGCTGAGGCACAGTGTGGATAAAGCACAGGGCCCAGGGGCTGCTGCCAGCACCGCGGTGACCTCCATCTCCACCCTGCCCCCGCCCCCGCTCTCTTGGTGCGTGGCGGTGGTGACCCTAGGGCCAGGGGGTGCTGTCGGAGAAGCTCCGGAGCTTCAGCATGCAGGACCTGACGCTGATCCGAGACGAGGATGCACTGCCCCTGCAGGGCCCCGACAGCCGCCTCCGCCCCGGCCCTGGCGGCCTCCTGGACACCATTGAGGACTTAGGTACCGGCAGGCCCCTAAGGGCTAAGGTGCAGGCTGCGCAGAGGCACAGGGCCAGGAGGGTGGGGGGAAAAGACCCCTGTTCTCTCTCCCTCCTCTCAACAGGTGATGACGCCACCCTGAATTTAAGGTCCCCCACAACCCAGGCAGATCCCCGGACAGAGGCCTCCGAGGAGGACTTGGGAGATAAGGCCCCCAAGAGAGTCAAGTCCATCAAAAAAGTGCCCAGAGCGGAGGTGAGAGCGCGCCGGAGCAGGGCCGACGGGGCTGGGGCAGCCTGAGCCGTCCCCCTCGCTGTCTCCTTCCCTCCACAGCCCCTGGCTTCCAAGACTCTGAAGACCCGGCCGAAGAAGAAGAGCTCTGCGGCGGGCGACTCAGCGTGAGTCCGCAGCCGGCGCGGTGGGGAGGAAGGCGGCTGGGCGCAGCCCCAGCCCCTGTCCACTCTGCGCCGCCAGCCCAGGCGTCTCGGCCCTGCGCCCCTCTTCGGTGGCCATTTCTGGAGCCTGCGCAGTGGCCGCTCCTCTGGAGGGGTCTGGAAGGAGGGAGGCCCGGCTGCAGAGGCTGAGGCGGAGGCTGGCCCAGGCTCTGCAGACTGCGCCCCCACAATGGGGCTCCCCGCCCGGCCGCCCCTCTCCCCGGCCCCAGCGCTGTGCCCCCCACCCAGTGCCTTGCTGAAGACCGTGGCCAGCCCCTCTCTTGAGCTCTGATGTGCCGCTGCCCCTGGTGGGAAAGGGGGCCTGAAGGCACCAGCAGAAAGGGAGCCAGTGGGTGGGGGCCTTGGGAACCTGGGCCGTGCAGGCCATGGGGTTCGTGTGGGCTTCAGTAACCAGGATGGCCCCAGAGGTGCAGCTGGGGCCTGCGTGCTCCCTGTCCCTGTTAGAGACACAGGGCTGCAGGAGTGTGTGTGCGTGTGTGCGTCCTGCCGGGGCTGGGGTGCAGGGGGTGTGGGTGAAAGATTCTCCCTCAGGGGTCACCTCCTCCCACTCTCGGTCCTGGCCTTTCCCTTTTTTGACCCTTCCTGCTAGTCTCTGAGCCTCAGAGGACCCCAGCCCATCACAGCCTGGGGCTCCAAGGCACCTCTCGCATACGCCGGTGTCCTTGATCCCTGTCCCCTCACCTGTTCCCACCCTGGCCTGCCTAGGCTGGAGTCCTGCACTCCCGGGGCCCACCACAGAAGCCCTGCTGAGCTGGCTCCTTTCCTCGTCCTGGGGGACCCATCCTTCCTTGCCCAGGGCCCCCTTCCTGTGCCAAGCAGACCCCTGTCAGAGTCCAGCTCAGCCCCACACCCTGCCGCCTCTCCTGCCACGGCTTCAGTCAGGGCCAGGAGGAGCTCGAGAAGGAGAGAAACGCAGGAAACGGGTTCCCAGCTCCTTGGAAGAGGCTGCCCATTGGCCCCTTGTCACTGGATGAGCCAATAAACTGAACTCTGGCACCTCATTTATTTTGGCCTCTGTGTTGTTTAGTCCACAGGTGCAAGGGCCCCAGCTGAGAGGCAGGGCCCAGGAGGGGGCAGGCAGAGGAGAGGAACATGGTTGTGGGGTGGTTCAGGGTAAAGCCAGGCACGTGAGAGGGGCCCCAAGAGTTGTCCTGCCCCTCCAAGTGTTGCACCAAGGCCCCGGGCCCTCTGGTATCCCACAGAAAGTGTCAGATTACGTTCCAGGGACATGGACCCCATGGAAGCTCCCGAGGAAGGGAGCGTGGGATCCGGGGCTGCTAGGTCAGGCTGGACTCTGGGTGGCCAGAAAGGCCAGAAAACACTGGAGGGGATTAAGCCAGACCCTGAAGGGGCTGAGGGAAGAGGCAGAGTAGGCAGCTGGGACAGAAGCTGTGGAAGGGCGGGTCACATGGGTCTTGTCATGCGGCGCCAGGGAAAGAGAGGGTGGGAGAGGAAAAAGCTTCAAACCGTGGTGAGTGCAACTGGCTGAGGTGAAACCCTGGCAGGCCAGAACCCAGGCGAAGGGGAAGTGCTAGAGGCAGCAGCAGGAGAGAGATTAACAAAAAACAGGAGCAGAGAAGGTCTGCAGCTTAGCCTTGCAGAAGGACACTGGAGGAAGCAGTGTGGGGTGGGTAGAGGGTAGGAGCAGACGCCTAGCTCCAGCTCTGGACCTAAACTAGAGACAGTGTCCCTGCCTGAGGCCTTCCTCTGCCTTCCCAGGCATCACGTGACCTGACCTGTGGTCAAAGCGGGGGCAGATATGACAAGTCCAGGATCTGTCCTGGACTCCCCCAGTGACCAGCCCTCCGAGGGCACGGCTTTCACCACTGTCCCTGAGCACACTGGCCCCTTTCTCTGTCCAGAAGAAGAGCAAGGTACCAGGGTACAACTCAGGGAAGAGACTCATCCTAGAGAGATTCCCCTGTAGGACACCAGTCGCCACCATATGGTCAGGAAGCCAGGTTAGGCATGCTCTACCTAAGTCTCGTTTGCTGCAGTGTGTGCACACATGCGCACACTCACACACACACTCACACTCATCTACATGTGTGCACCCATGACTGGTGGATAAGGAGGTCACTGCTACATTCTGCATTGCTGGGCTGGGTTTCCCTGTGTCAAAAGGAACAAACATCTGGGTTTCCCTGTGTAAAAAGGAATGCGCTCAGATTTCCAAGCTCATGGTCCATTTCCACGGAAACAGTCAGGTCCTGCCCCCTGTGGTGCAGGGGAGGAGAGGGAAGAGGGAGGGTGACAAAAAGAACACGTGGAAAGGAAGCTGCCTGGCAGGACACGGGCACGTCTAGGTGTAGGTGACCCCCTTGCTGTCTGTCCCCTCATTACCTGGGACCACCTGCTGCCTCCCATCTGCCTCGGTAGATCTCTGTAGGCAGGGGAGTGGGAGAAGGGATGTCAGAACAGAAGTTTATGGCCAGAGCTAGGGTTGGCATCAGAGCAATGCCTGGGTCCCAGGGGGCTTTTTTTTTTTTTTTTTTTTTTTTTTTTT